GGCCGCAAAGGCACGACTCGGTCCAGGGCTCCAGCAGCCGCCCTATCCCAGGCGGCCACTAGGTCCCCAGACGAGGCGTGAGCCAGAACCTCCGGGATTGGCCCAAGCTCCCTCTGGAACCTATCAGGTTCCATCAGGCGCCTGGGGCGGTACCATCTTACCGGTTCCGCCTCCCTGCAGCGGGGTGCCGCGGTTCGAAGGTCAAGGCGAAGGAGCGAGTGATCTGACCATGACAAGGGCTCGATGACTATATCCCCTATCTCAAGATCACTCAACCACTGTCCAGAGACAAAAACCAAGTCCAGTGTGTTTCCCCCAATGTGCGTAGGGCCATGAATTAGTTGGGTCAGGTCCATGGCCGTCATGGAAGCCATGAACTCTCGAGCCACCTCAGACGCCTCACCCACGGATGGCAGGTTGAAATCCCCCATGACCATAAGTCTGGGGGTATCAACCGCCACCGCGGCAATAACGTTGAGTAGCTCGGGCAGGGCTGCCGCCACGTGGCAGGGAGCCAGGTACGTGATCAGCAAACCCCTCTGAACCCCATGGCCCCACTTCACAAAGAGGGACTCACAACCAGCTGTCTGAGGTACAGTGGTCTCCCTCGGCCTAAGGCCTTCTCTAATAATAACCGCTACTCCCCCGCCCCTCCCCTGTGGCCTTGGCTGATGGAATGCGTGGAAACCTGGTGGGCACATTTCTACCAGAGGGACCCCTCCCTCTGGGCCCAACCAGGTCTCCGTAATACCCGCCAGGTCCGCTCCCCCCTCGTAAACAAGATCACAGATGAGGGGGGCTTTATTTACTACAGACCTGGCGTTGCACAACATCAGGCGAAGGCCCGGGCCCTGAAGGTCTGTACTACCTGGAGCACGGGTGGAGCTTTGGGGGCCGGAGCACTCTACCGCTTGAAGACAGCGGGCGCGTGCTCCCTTAACATGATATGGCCCCCTGCTCCCGCCATATCTACCTCTCCCACACACAGTACCGATGGTAGAAACACAATCTGGACCAGCTCGACCCCCTCCGGATTCCCCGCCACCCCCGCCGGACGTCCTGGCCAAGCCCGACTCTCCCCCTAGTGGGTTATCCCCCAAACCCACAACCCTAATTTCAATCCCACCCCCCTCCCCCCTCCCCAAACCCCTTAAAAGTTTAGACAAGGACAATTTTAAAAAACCCCGCAGCCCCCTCTTTGCGGCATGCCACCTCTCGGGACTCCAGAGCCCGTCATCGAGGTAGGCCCTCGATAGAATGGAGGGCCAAGCCTGCGAGAGGGGGGAGTCTCGCAGACCAAGAAGCTCCGCTGCTGAGTTGCATCATTCTTTCATGAAATAAATTTATATGACGAGTAAGAGGAGAAATCTGGACTATTGAAGGAGCTGATGCTGACATCTCAGTAAAATTACTGTCTTTTTATAGTTAAAGCAGGCTGCATTCCTATGAAATAAATGGCAGTAATTTTGGGCATGCCAAATAGCAACACCATGGACTTGATTCTTTGTTTTTAGTCTTTTTCTAAAAACTATTTTTACCAATTCTAGAAGACATTGTTAAACTTAATGGAACAGAACTGGAGAGCAGAAACTCAAACCCAATATTTTTCTCTAGGATTTGTTACAATATTAGCTTCTAAAAATGTCAAAAGAAAAATCCAATGGGATTCAGGTTTAGTAAACAATTAATATAACTTTTTTCAACAATTTGTATGCAGGTTTCGCTATTAACAGCTTTGCCTTTCCCAAATAACCTTGCTGAATTATTATAGAGCTTTTGTTAGTTCAATTTAGTGCCCATTTCCTCAGTGCTAGTGACAAATGATATCAGAAGATAAGTTTTGAACGAACCATTTGTGGAACTGGTGTGGTCGAGACGGTGAACCAATCTCCTTATATGATCCATTTTATAAAAATGTTGATTACATTTTAATGTATTTTCCAGGCAGGGAGTCTGATTTTCTTATCTCCTAACAGACCAAAAGTTGTCTATTTGCAATAGCACAGGAAACTTTTGTATTACTGGTTGCCTCACAAATCACTTGTTGATAAGTGCAGTTTAAGGTACAAAACTTTTGTTAAATATATATTTCCCATTATTAATTTTATTTTAAATGACAAATTACTGTATACGTAAATTGTTTTATTATATGTACTTGTCCTTTTTTCTGTTAATAATATATCAGAAAAAAGGGGAAGTACTACATAGTAGTTCAACACATTCCAGAATAACTCTTTAACTACTTTATACCAGTGGATAAAAGCTACTGATATTTATCTGAAATATTTAAAATGCTTAAAAACAGTACTTAAATTGGGATTATTGTTAGTTTCTAACAATAAAACATTCCTTCGAGATGGAAGGAATGTTTTTGAGCCTTGGATTTTGCTGTTTTCTTTGGGCAGATTCTGGTCTTACCTTGCAGATAAAAAAAGTATAGTCTATCTCAAGGGTCCTCAAACTACGGCCCACAGGCCACATATGGCCCACCAAAGCCATTAATCCAGCCCACGCAGGACCACGAGGCTGCCCTGCCCACATCAGCCCCCATCCTTCAGCTGAACGTAGGACTTACCTTTGCGAGCCCTGCGGGCTGGAACTGGAAGGTAAGGCCAACAATTTTGGCCTGCAGAATGTTCTGGAGGCGGGGAAGGTGAAAACAGGGCATGCAGTTGTCCCGGGAGGCAAAAAAATGGGCCATTTTAGCCTGTTTTTGGCCTGCAGAATGCTTCTGGAGGCGGTGAATTTCCCCCACCTCCAGAAGATAGAAAGAGAGAGAGAGACACACACAGAAAGAGTTAGAGGGAGGGACAGAGAGAGAGAGAGAGAGAGAGAGAGACTTGTTGATTGTAAGCTCCTTGGGGCGGAGAAGAATTGCTGCAAAACTGAGTTTCCTGAAGTGGACCACTAGACTCTTAAAACAACTGAAAAAATGATCTAGTAAAAAGAAAAGTCAACCAAAAAAGCAACATGCAAACAAAAGCAAATAAAACATCCCCAGGAGCAAAACAAATTAAAGTTTAATTTGTGTGCATTGTTTAATGGACTGTTAAATGGCCACATCCACCTAGTCATGACCTAGCCACGCCCACCCAGCTAGTCCACCCCATCCCCCGCAGTCTGAGGGATCGTGAATTGGCTCCATTTAAAAAGTTTGAGGACCCCTGGTCTATTTTAACAGTCTGGCCCATGTTTTTAAAACAAAAAAGATTGTGTATCTGCTCTCACACCTGCCTTTTTTAAAGCATATCTGTTCCTATTAGAAAGCAAGAGAAGGAATAGTATTTGGTGATGTTATCAAAACATTGAATTCAAAATGAGAATGAAAATTGAGTAATAACATCTGAGAAAAATGTTCACTGAAAAGATGTGTGCTACGGAAATTACCTGAAGATATATAGGAAAATTGGTGGATCACGACTATAATTAGCATACTTGGATTTCACCAGATAAATAGGCAAGAAATAAAATATTGACAATAAAATGGATATCAAACATTCCAGATGAATTTAATTTTCAGATTCTGGTAATATAAAAGAATTCTGATAGTTGCATTTTTTTACTTCAATATAATTTTCATGGTTTTTTTTTTTAATATCACAGGATCTCAATGACTATAGAGTTTTAAAGCATTTCTACAGGAGCATTATAATTGGGGTTAAATGAATAATGACTAAATTCTTGGTTGATTTGGCTTTGACAGTCAAATTTGATTTGTGAAGCCAGTCACTGCAGCATGTGAACTCTGGTTTATTATTTAGTGTTAAGTAATCTTAGCAGTTTGGGGCTTTGCCAGCAGATTCATGATTAATTAAATGGTAATTAACTGAAAGGATCGGCATACTTCGGAATCAACTGTAAGCTTTTCTTTCTGGTTATTCACTCTAATAGTGAATTGGGCTGCTTACTCTTGGAGCAAAGTAGAAAGATGATCATTTTTTTTTCCAGGCAGAAGTAGGAATTTGAAAATACCTTGGGGTTTTTCCATCCCAAATTATTTATCTGCTAAATGGGAAAGAAAACTGTATTATCTGTGCAGAAAAAATAGCTGCGTCTGCAACGTCCTATGGCGACAACTTAGCAGGTGCATTCATGCATGGAAGACATCTATTGCCATTCTCCCAGGTTCTCTAAGCAGGGGTGGGGGTGGAGATAAAAACGACTATTTCCTCAAATCCTCAGCGTTTTGAAAAGGCGACTCAAGAGACTGGATTAAAAAAAGAAAAGAAAAGAAAACGTGCGTCAATTCAACTTCACGTTTGCATTTCTTGACCCTTTGCACCAAGCCTCCAGCGTGAGATAGTCCCGCTTCTCCAGGTAGAAGATAGAGGGCACTGATGTCCAGGCTCGGGATTTCTTAGGCGCTCGATTAATGCGCTTTCCGGGACGTATAGAAATGCACATATGGCAACCCTTGGAATACTGCACTATGGTCAGTTAAAAGTTATGCTATTAGGAGATTTAGATTCTCTTCTCCCTCCCACTTCCGTCTCCCCAAACTCTTATTTAAAGCAAGTTAAAGGTATTGCAAGTCTCAACCGCCTCAGTGGCCCCTTTAACTCCCTCACTCATTCCGTCATTCAACTGCAGCCTTGCAGGTGTCGAAGTCGCATTTTATACGACTGGGGTGTGTCTGCGTGTGTGGAATCTAGGACGCCTGAGAACAGCGTCCAAAGTTTGCTTCGTGGGCATGTGCTGTGACGCGCCCATAAAACCCTCGATTTCTTAACCGACTTCTGGGGTCAGGCCTTCTTCCGCTTTGCGGTAGGAAAAGCCAAAAGCGGAAGTCCGGATTGTGCTCCTTCTCGATCCCCGTGTGTTCTCGCCTCCTTCCTTCAACTTCCGCTGGGCATTTTATTTATTTATTTCTTCGGTTTGATGTGCATCCGGGTCCCGCCGGCGTGCTTAGCGGCAGTTGTGGAGAGCGGGTAGGCGAGGCGCCGGGTGCAGCGAGCGCGTGGCTGGAGGGTGAGTAAATAGAACTGGCCGGCCAGGCGCGCGCCCGCCCGCCCGCCCGCCCGCCCGAACGAACGAACGAACGAACGAGCGGCTTTCCCATTTTGCACCTTTGGCGAACTGCGTCCGTAAGAAGCGGCGAATGGTTTGCGCTGGGAATTAGCGTCTCTCTTCGTCCTGGTTGCGATGACCTGAAGTCCCGTCGATAGTGACCGGTCTGTTGTCTACAGGCATTGCCCACATTCCTTTTTCTTTACGGGACACGCTTTCTTCTGTCCTCCTGCCGGACGCGGCTTCTTGTGCGAATGCTAGGTAGAAAGAGATGAAAACAAGCCCAGATTTCTCTTGAGGGAAAGTGATTTGCTTGTTGCATTTCGAAACCCTGACAAGCGTTTGGTAGTCGTGTATTTAGAGTGTCAGACAGTAGCCAGTTTTACTAGGTAATTGTTGGGTAGGGTGAGGATTATGCCAATAGAGAAAAGCGGGTGCTAAATCAACGTTTGACTTCTCTCACCCAGGTGACGACCAAAAAAAAAAAAAGTGGGGAAGTAGCATTTATTCCTGTGTTGAAGTAAATGCATTTTCCAGCCAGTTCTTGACCTTTCCGGGAGAGGGGAGGGGATCGAAACTTTCTGTTAACTGCTCTTTTGTTTGACTATGCATACCTAGTGCTTTTGTTATCTTCTTGGTTCACTTGATGCGCAGTTCATAGATCTCCCAATTTTATGGCTTTAGTGTAATCCGGGCCCTAAGCAATTAGCCCGCAAGATCTAATGTTGAGGAATCACATGATCAGTCTGTACTGCTGCTTTAAGTGAATCGCGGTGAAGAAAAAAGAACATTAGTAGTTAAAGAGACAAAAGATGTGTGCCCTTACAGCCGAAAATTAAAATTAATGTTGTAAAGTGGATGTAAATTGGGGGTCCAAGCCGACATTTCTCACATTATCAACTTGGTACTTATACAATTTATACAAGACATTCCCTCTTCAAGAATGGCACTTGAATTAGACTTCCTTTGGAATAAGCACACTTTAAATAATGGGATTTAAATTTCTGACGGTGAGCAAAACTGCTTTTTATTTTTCATTTCTCCACAAAGCAGGTCTGTTTGGCTGTTTTATAAATGGACATATAATTATTCCATTTTACATAATGAGAAAGAAAACATGCCTCAACTATTATCAGCTAAAGGAGAAATTTTGTATTACAGACCTTATAGTCACAAAATGCTACTTCTGTTGGTTGGACATGGGCATGTTAATCTCATGCACGAGGGTTTACTACATGACTTTAACAAAGCAAAAATAGCATTGGGAACTGAATCAAATGGAGGCTTTGGTATGAGGAGAGATAGGTTTTGTCTTGTTATAGCCTGTTCAGAAACGTTAAGATGATACTTTAAATCAAGCCTAAAGGAAAACATATAAGAAAATAGGTCTGAAAGCATTCAAAGGACTGCTATTCAGGAGCATGAACAAATCATCTCTCTTCAAATTGTTAGAGAATGCACATCTCTTGCAAGGTTTTTTTTTTGAAGATGGCTTCTTAAGAACGTCTTTGGGCCATCTCCTTATCCATGGTTGATTTTTCATGCATTAGGAGATAATTGGGAACAAAGTTTTAAAGCAGATACAAAAGGCTTACAAAAAAAGCTATTTTAAAATTAATGGTAATTTCAAAAAAAAGCGTTTTGTCCTTATATTTGAACATTTCCCAGCATCTCTTTGAAATGTTTTGCACAATGTTAATGCAGGTAACAGAGGAAGTCATCTACATCTGTTGTCAGTAATTAAATTACAACAACTGAATGCATAATTGAAACATGAAAATAACTGTACAGAGAATCATAGCTTTTACAGAGTTTTAGGAATTGTCTTTTCTAAAATAACTTCCTATCCCCTTGCCTGAAATGACAAGTATACTTGAGAAAATATATCAAATAATAAATATATAATTAGAAGTCTGCATTGCAATAGAAAATTCAGCAGAATAGAGAACACCGCTAAAGAGATGCGACTATTTCTTCAATTATGATTAGATTTCAGCTTTATAAGAAAGAGGAACAGAGAACAATAGAAAAATAAGATCTTTCCTAAGAATTTTGAATTGTAGACCAGGAAATTTACTGACAGGATCATGGGACCATAAGAAAACTGCATAGGTTTGATTGTGTGAGGAGAGCTTTCATTCCAAACCTGCACTTATTATAGGCAGCAACAGGGCTGGAAGTTAGCAGCAGAGAAACATTAATGGGAGGCACATAAAGTATTTTATTGCAATTTATTATTAAGCTTTCTTTCATCAATCATGTCATACTGGATCTTTGTGGCCTTTACTCAATTCCCTTCTGCCTTTGTTAATCCTGAACATTACTTCTTTCTTATCAGCAATGAAAGGATTGGAGCAGAGGGGCTTTGTTTACCGGTAGTAGTAGTTCCTTTGGATTTAACAGAATTATATAAAGTGGGAACTGAACCTGGTCACTGACAAGTTTGCAAGATCAGGGGAAAATGTCCTGGAATAAGCTCCTATCTCATTTTAGCTATAACATGCATTGATTAGAATACAGCATAGTCCCTAAATGCTGATGGAAATCTGGCTTAATAAGTATTCAGAGTCCGTATAAATGTTACAAATATATAAATAGCTGGATTTAAAAAATAACCCAAGATTCAAGACTTAATTAAGTTCCTAAACAAAAGTTATTACAGCTTAGTACAATCATTTTAAGGATAAAATAATATGAAAGAAGCTGAGAACAGGAGTTCAAAGTAGATAGGCTGATTTTAATAAAGATGCCCACAACCATATGCTAAAACGTAGATGGTAATATAAACATTGAACTATTAATAAGAAATCTATTTTTATGTTATCCTTGAACAATGAAATTCGATTTCATTTCACAAGGAAGACAGATCTAAGCACCTGATGGGCTGGATCCGGCCTCTGGGCCTTGAGTTTGACACCCCTAATATTGATGTAGTCCCATTGAGGACCATGTGCCATCTGTGTTGTACCGTCTATCCCACACTGTTCTACCTTATCAAGAAATAGGCTGTTGTTTACTGTATCAAATGCTTTATAGAAGTCTAAGTATACTATATAGCGGTGATGGCGAACCTATGGCCCTCTCTGTGGGCATACGCACTGCCAGCTGCTCTTATGGGTTCCATTGCGCATATACGCCCCGGCCAGCTAGTCCGGTGCAGCAAGCTGCTCTCTTCTGGGTTCCAGCGCAGGCCAGCACATGCTGGAAGAGAGAGAGAGAGAGAGAGTAGCTGGCCAGTACGCATGTGCGCCGGAACCCGGAAGAGCAGCTGGCCGCTGCATGCAGGCGCACCGGCCAACTGCTCTTTTCCAGGTTCCGGTGCTCCTGCACACTCACGTTTCAGCACTCGCTGAAAAGGTTAACCATCACTGCTATACAGTATGCAGTATAAATATATACTGTATTTCCGATCCACTAATTTATCAGAGAAGACAATACTTTTTGTCTGACATATCCTTTTTTAACATGCCCATGCTGGTTTCTGGTAATCACTAGATACTGAAAATTCTGTCAGTATCTAGTGATTAATCTGATAATTAACAAACCTATGCTGGCTTCTGGTAATTCTAGATACTGATAAATCTGCTGCTTGATTATCTATTCCAGGATTTTCTTGGGTATTGGTCTGTAGTTTCCTGGATTCAATTTTTTATAGATTAGAACTAAAACACGGTCTTCATGGGAGAAGGTGGCAGTGACAGATGCTAGCACTGAGGGAAGAGTGCCACACAGAAACAGCAGCACACAGGAATGCCACCCCCTCCTCTCTCTCTATTCCTGCTGTTGGGTGATCCTGTGTGAAGAAGGGGGCTAGCAGAGAGGGGAAAGTGTGAGGTTGCTGCTTCTGGGCTTTGGGCATTCGGGAAACATCTGGGTCTGGATCACTCAGCTTCTCTTCCTCTCACAGCCAGCTTTCCCAGTCTAGCTTGACGCAGGTTTCCTCCCCAGGCCCCCGTCTGTTTCCCACCCTAACAGCCGGACAAAGTTAGGCAAAAAGCCAGCCCTCACCAGCGGGCTTGCAAAGGGCAGTGTGAGCTGCATTGCCACCTGCGTCAAACTAGATTGGGGAGGGAGAACGTGAGTGAGCACTGAGGAGACTGTGGAGGAGGAAGCCAGGCAAAGGGGCGAGTGAAGGGTGTCTGCAGCCTGGCAGACTTTCTAAGCCTGCCTAAAGCAGGGAGAGAGGGAGGGAGGGAGAGAGAGAGAGAGATCCGATCTAACTTCTGTCTGTGTGTGTGTGTGTGTGTGTGTGTGTGAGAGAGAGAGAGAGAGAGAGAGAGAGAGAGAGAGAGAGAGGGAGGGATATCCAATCCAATTTTGGAAAGTTATATCAGGGCTGGCAGCGGTGTGCTCTCTCTCTCACACACACACGTACACACACACACACACAAACAGGTTGGATTTTTCTTTCCTCTCACCCAACCCACCAGAGACCCCTGGATTCCCTTCCCAACCCTGCCTATCTCATACAGGCACCACCCACATGAGTGACGTAGAATTGGCCATGCCCATTCAGTCACATGACCACCCCCAGCCATGCTGATCAGGTCATTAGGAAGAACCTGTTGTTAAATTATTTGAATCCCACCACTGTAAAACCTTATTATTCAGGTTAAATTGCTGTCTTGGCACTTTGCAATAAATAAGTGGGTTTTGGGTTGCAGTTTGGGCACTCGGTCCCTAAAAGGTTTGCCATCACTGATCTAGGCCCTCATTTTACTGACCTCAGAAGGATGAAAGGTGGAGTCAACTCTGAGCATCTCAGAATTGAACTCCAGGAGTGAGTAGTGAGTTAGCTTGCAATACTGCATAGGGACGCAGTGGCTCAGACGCTAAACTTGTCGATCGAAAGGTCGGCAGTTCAGTGGTTCAAATCCCTAATGCAGCGTAACAGGGTGAACTCCCGTTACTTGTCCCAGCTTCTGCCAACCTAGCAGTTTGAAAGCAGGTAAAAAATGCAAGTAGAAAACATAGGGACCACCTTTGGTGGGAAGGTAACAGTGTTCCGTGCACTTTTGGCATTTAATCATGCTGGCCACATGACCATGGAGACGTCTTCAGATAGTGCTGGCTCTTTGGCTTTAAAATAGAGATAAGCACCACCCCGTAGAGTCAGGAACGACTAGCACATGTGTGCGAGGGGAACCTTTACCTTACTGCATTTAACCACAGGAGCACAACAGCTCTTAAAACAAAAGTATTATCCATTTGATAATAATTCAAGGCAAATACATTTAAAATATCATTTGTAAAATTAATTATGAATAATCATATAACTGTCAATATAAATAAAAAGCTTGAATTTTTCAAATGGATTTCACATTTTTACACTCAGCAATAGGATAAAAGTAACAAACAGAACTATCTATAATAGATGCCCAATGTTTAGATTCCTTGTTCAGCAGTTCTTGAAATTTGTAAAAGGATATAAAATGGAAAATCCACAGACCCAGAGGATTTATGAATTGGCAAACAATTTCAAATCAGATGTGTTTTTATCAGTTTCTATACAAAAGTTGAATATGTGAGAAAAATTTTCTCACATATTCTGGAAGAAACTATCACCTTTCTGGAAGAAACTATCCAAAGAAGTATTTTAAACAAAGTAGAATATATCTCAGAATGCTATTATTATATATCTTCAAAGGAGAAAATATTAAATTACATAATAAAGATTTAATAACTAAAATAATTAGTTAACAATGGATATTGGTAGACAGTTTAGGAACCGAGAAATGGTGCAGGAAATATATGGTCAAATGTCCTTGCAAAAGTTATTGATAAAATTCAAATATCAAATTCACAGTACTTCTATTTTTATCAAGTCTGAGTGATTACATATACTATATTAATTTAAAAAATAGCTGTAGGTTTGGCAAATCTAGAGATTTATAGCATTTTGATTTATGTTGAAAATGGATTTATTTTTTAAACTAATTTATATGACCATCTAACTGACTGTGATCCTGATTCTGAGCTAATACAAATATTAGCTAAAATACTGGCTGAAACACATTTTTAAAAGAGAGTCACTTTTCCATACAAAAATAAAGGTCCTTTTGTCCTTTAAATTTTTTTGCTCATCATTTTACACCTACTTCTTTCAACTATTTGCTTTTCTTCTCCTGCTAGATTAATTTAGGTTAGGATTATTAACTAATGTTTGACAGTTCATTCTTCAAATTTAAATTACCATGTTGAAACCACAATGTCAGATCTCATCAATTGATTATGTCCACTGTGGGCAAAATCTTTGGGACTTGACATTTTGACATCAGTTGGGGCCAAAAAAAAAAAAAAAAACACCTCAAGAGCCAAAACCAAATTTCATCCTACTTTATTGGTTGTCGACCTCTGTTTATGATGGCCTGAAAAAAAGTTTGAAGTTAAAAAAAGATTTCAAGGTTGCAGCAGACCTACCATTTCACATCTCATGTACCCACCTTTCACTACTCTCAAATACAGAATCATAGAATTCTAGGGTTGGGAGGGATTTGAGAAGTCTACTTACAGGGTTAGGTGGTGGCTGAATGAAGGACAATAAAAAGGGGCAGGGATGGGGGGGGAGAGGCAGGTGGGGGCAATTGAAGCAGAGATGAATGAGGCACAGGAAAAATGTGAGGGATGGATGAAATTTTATCCCCAAATTTGCCACTGGTTTCCTTTCCAGTCGAAATCTGGCTTCCACGTGCAGAAATTATGCATTCTATTAAGACATTTTGCCCTTTCGAACACTCAAAGCCTCCCATTTTTCCGCAGGAAAGAGCTGACACGGGAAAAAACAACGCCTGCTGTTTAAAGAGACTTCTTTGGGATGCCTGGAGGTGGAGGGCGATCCGGGTGAATAAGGAGGAAAAAAATAATACCATGTCGCAATTGCGCAAAGCTGACGTTACACCCGCCTGACTACTCGGCTTTTGTTTTCATCGCAGTCTGCGGCGTTAAGTCAACCCGGAAGCTGAGAAGTGCGTAGGGATCCATCCTTCCCTCCAAGTCTTTGTTTTGGATCTGGAAGCATCTGAAGGATCTGAGGTCACGTCTTGTTTCCTGTTTGGGGGTCGGCAGTCGGCGAGTTCCCTATGGCCGGTGCCCGGGCGCTGGGCGAAAGTGGTGGGGGTGGTGTAGCCGCCATGGACTATTCAGTACACGAGGCTTGGAACGAAGCCACCAACATTTACTTACTGGCGGTGCTGGCCAGCTTGGCCCTGTTGGTGTACGCCCGCAGGTGGGAATCTCAACGGGGAAATAAGTGACTCCTGTAACTCCTGTTTGTATATTGATTAAGAATGCGTCGAAGTCTGGTAGATCATTAAACTTTTCTGTCCACTGTAGGTGTGGAGGCTGAGAGAAACCACTTTCTTGCTGAATTCTGATTGGGAGATTCGGTTTTCTAATCCACGGTTTATCGAGGATTGGGGTACTTTTCCTAGACGATTCCTGGTCTCTTAGTGGAAAGTTGCGATATTGCCAAAGCTTCTGGCAATAACGTTACAAACTTTCTGGCTATATGGCTAGGCTTGCAAATACTGACTATTGAATCAGCAATTGGTTATCTCGAGATTTGAGGTCCATGCTTCTGGACTCACAGTTGCAAACTGTCTTGTCAGATTTGGAAGTGGCAACAAAACAGGAACTTGTGTGAATAAAATAGGTTTTATTTATTTAGGGACTTGGAGGAAGGATGTGATAGAGAAATATGTTTTCTTTATAGAATATGCCTGCCTAATTTGGGAAAAATCCTGGTTCTTTCTCAGCATTTCACATCTCACCATGTAGTAATCAGTAACCCCTTTCCGTGCATTTTTATGAGGATGATGACTAAATTGTTATTGCTCATGACTAAGTCTGATTCAGTGTTATAAATATTATTTCAATAATAATAATATAAAGAAAATGAGGGCATTCCTCGGCACAATTTGTCATTCAAATAAATGTCCCAAAAGTCTTTTGCTTTTTCAAAAGACAACTGGACTTTCTTTGTTTTTGCTTGAAGATGTGTTGCTTCTCATCCAAGGTGCTGAAACACCTTTGGGACAATGACCTGGATGACAGAATCTCCATAGATACGTGCAAATAAATGTTTATTACGAGTATTGTGTGACTTTTTTCAACTAATTGTTGAATAATTTATGCTGTTTAAGGGTTCAGAGTTTTGCACTTTTATTTTTTTCAGCAGTTAATAATTGCCTTTTCAATAAGTTAGGCCAGGGTAAGTGTCGTTTAGCTAATATTAAAAATAAACTTCATAGAAAGAAAAACTCGTCATTATTGCTATTGTGTTAAAAATAAATTTTGAAAGAAACAGTATATACCTTTATGAATAATAGTAACATCTGCAAGCAGAATGGCAAGAAGATGAAATAATTAGCTGTTAAATATTGATTTCAGCCAGGTTTTCAAAATATTTCATACGTTTTATCTTGCTGCAATCTGCTAAAATCTAATTAATATTCATCCCTCACTTGGTATTAGAAGAAAGAATAAATTGTGCATGAATGAGATTTGAACTGGATAGTTCTTCCTTTACAGACTCCGTTTCTGAAACACTTCCTGCATATTACTCTTCCTTTTGAGAAGTCTCTGTACTCTGTACTTGAGTATCAGCCAAAGAAGCAGGCATAGCACCTTCATGAATTTCATAATTGAAAAACTTTGCAGGACTGAGGCTCCACTCAAAGGATCTGTACAAGCTAATTTACACTGACTTTCATGTCCATGCTGAGTACAGCATGTAAATACTATACTAATTTCACATTTAGGTGAACACACAGGCTCTTCATAGGACATAAATGTCTGTTAGTAGCTTTTGCAGGAAAGAATGTAGTGAGCAGGAAGCCTTTCTATCAAGTGACATTTAAACATTCATAGCCTAATTTCTGTAGTTACATATCAGGAAATTAAGACAAGTTGCTAATTTCATTTACCATTAAGGGAAAAATATCTGCTTTCGTATTACTTATGTTTTTCTATTCCCTTTTCCCTTCTATTCCTTCAGAAATAAGAGGAAGATTATGAGGATTTTTACATTACCTCCAACTGTAGAAATACCACCTGAACCAAATTTTTATGACAGCATGAAAAAAGTCCGTCTTCGGCAGCAGTTAGAGATGTATTCTATTGGTAAGTAAACTATATTTACTTTGAAACTATTAAGGTTTGGATAAGCTATAGATCCCATTAAAAAAAAAGAAATTTGATCCTAAATATATGTGATGAAACATAAATCTGACTCCTGACATTTGCACCACTTGAAGTTATTATTATTCTGAATGTAAAAACATTTAATGCTCTAGGGTTGTGATCCTTTTGCTCTTCTACTCATGGGACTGTAATGTGTATGGATCTTGAAGGTAATGAAATCTATTACAGATTGCAGGATTGCTAATGATCCTTGATGCATACCCTATATTTTATACTGATCAGAAATGTACAGTAGCACAGTTTATTATTCATGTGTTTCTCATGCTTTTCTTTCTATTCTGTTAATTTGCATAATTGGAATGGTATTCTTCCTTATAACATGGTTCTGAGAAATGGATCTTAAAATGACATCAGATAGAGAGATCTCTAGAAGTTCTAAAGTTCTTTAGAAAATACCTGAATTGGATATTTATAAATTGTTGAAATATCTAGAATATTTTTATTAGGACCCTACCCATGTTTTTTTTCTAGAATTCTCAATTTCTCCTATATCTCTACCCCCATGATTTAGCATTCTGTGTATGCTTAATGAATATTGGACTGTTTGGAAATAATTACTCCCTGACACTGATGAGTGATGGTGATAAAGTACACTCAAAGCTGTTTCTCTTTGTAACAGTTGTGCCATTTGGGCTGCAAAAGAAATAAGATTTGGGAATGAGATTGCTATTAGTTATTCCTATTACAATAGGAGTAAAATGTTCTGTTTTCCAAGGCATTCTGATCACCATGATGGAAACAAAGAAAAAACAAAGAACAATCAATCTAGGGAGATTAGCTGTCGCTCAGGAGCAATGATCAAAGATGTTACTGAGGGATTTATTAAAATAATTTAATCCACAGATTATTTTTCCTTTCCTATACCCCATTCATGTGGGGAGAAATGACACCACAAAGACCTTGAAAACAATATCAGGAGACTATGAAGAGGCATGAAAACTAAAGAAATGGGTGTCTTCTGTACTCCCAACAAATGGTAGGCACCCAATGAGAGAGAGAGGACTTTTGAAACAAACATTCAGGGGATGGTGCCGTCAAGAGAACTTTGGATTCTTACATCACAGACTACAATATCTACAGGAGGGGCTTCTGCAGGGATGGGCTACACTTCACAAGAACCTGGAACAATATCTTTGGAAACCAATTGGCTTGCCTTATCCATAGAACTTTAAACTAAAATTGGAAGCGGAGGAGACAAACTTGTAGAAGCTAATTCCAAGAACAAAACTCAAATCAACCCAATGTTAAAAAGGGGAAACTCAGGTCCAAAACAGGAGAAGTAGAAAATAAACACAGGGTTAGTCATAAAGGACTCAAGATGCCTATACACTAATACTCAAAGTATGAGGAACAAACAGGGTGAACTTGAAATCCTAGTATAAAAGGCAGACATAACATCACTACCATTATAAAATTTGGTGGGATGAAATCCATGACTGGAATGTACAGCTAGAAGGAATTTAAACTGTTCAAACGAAACAGATCTAATAAAAGAAGAGGTGGAGTTGCACTATATATATAAAATAACAACACTTCTATAGAAATGCAACATAACAATGATGAAAATCTTCTCGAATACATTTGGATTAATATAAAAGGAAAAAGGAATGACATTGCCATAATTTGTATAATATAGACCACCCAACCAAACAGAGGAAACATAAAATGTTTGCTAAATGGTTACCTACTAGAACTATATAAAAACTTACTTCATGAGCTACAACCACTACTAGCATGTGAGCCTAACTTCTCAGTTAAGAGGCCTTGCATTGCCTCCAAAGAGGCCTTGCATTGCCACCAAATTTTGACAAGGACTGTATAGAAGCCAAGAAAGCTCTTACCTTGGCATATAAAGTGCACAAAGATGAGGCTGGAAATGGCAATAAAACAAAGTTTAAACATCTCACACTCAAAAAACAATTTAAGCAATTAATTGCATTTAAGAAGACACATGACACAAGAGAACAGCTTATTGAGGCAGCAAAGCGAAATAACTCTTCTTATTCTGGCATCTAATAGCCTGCCATTCTTGAAAGAATTTATACCCATTTAGACTCCCATATACTTCCTACAACCTGGGAACTTTATCTTTGGAGAACATATGAAGATCCCTCCAGCTAGAGTATAAAATGGATTTATCTGAATGGTCCCCAGTTTCAGAGCCTATTAAAGCTCTTATTGGTCAACTCAGAACCGGGAAGGCCCCAGGAGCTGACTTCATTTCTGTTGAACTATTAAAGAATAATATGGAGTGATGGATTCCAGTCCTCCCAATACTATTCACTTATATTGACTCCACTGGTCATGTCCCAGAGGATTGGAGGCTGGCAATTGTTGTCCCAAATTTTAAAAAGAGAAAGAAAGACAACCCTGTTAATTACAGACTAGTAAACCTGCTAAATATAATCAGCAACCTCTATGCCATCTTGCTATCCAAGATAAATGAAAGGAGTGGCTGGATCCTGAGAACTTAATTGCTGGCAAGCTGGTTTAGAGAGGAGAGAGGCACCATAAATCAGTGCGTAGTCCTCCATTACTTGATTGAAAAATATGCATTAAATAGATCTGTATCATTATGCGCCACCTTTATAGATCTCAAGGCAGCTTTTGATATGGTTACCAGGACTAAGCTATGAAAGAAGCTGGAAGCTGGAGGCTTCTCCATTTGTTACGTGCCTTACATATTAAAACATTCTGTGCTGACCCGGACAAGGCACGGACGCAACAGAGTCACTGATAGTTCAGCAAAATGCTGTTAGCACAACCGCTTCCAGGTAAGAAATCAGCGAGGCAAGGAAACGAGGCAATGAGTTCCACAAAGCAAAGGAACAAGGCAATGAGTCCACAAAGCAAAGGACTTGGGCAATGAATTTCATGAAGCAAAGGACTTAGGCAATGAATCCACAAACTCCAGACATCAGCAATGACACACAAAACTCCACGATTTCAGTGTTTGTTCCCGACAAGCCATCCTCCCCACATCATCTCCTTAAATCTCAGTCCCCAGGTGTGTTTTGTGAAGAGGTGCAGGGTACTCTCCTCCCAAATCATCGGGTCAGCCTGTGCTGTTCCCGCCTCTCCACTCTCCTTTCTCGGGGATCAGGAGAAGGTGGTCCTTGCTTGTCGCCTGAGCTCCGTCGCTCCTCATCTCCACTGCCTGCGCTCTCTTCCCCCCCCTCTTGGTCGTCCTGTCCCTGATCTTCCCTGCTGGCAAGCCATCCCATGCCCGAGCGACCCAGGGCTAACTCGCTTCTCTCCGTGTTCCTCTGAAGCCAATGAAGCCACCCTCTCAATCTCTGTTGGCTCCAGCACTGGCACATCTTCTTCTGTGAACTCAAGCTCCAATGGGGGCATGACACATCCCTCAAAGTTAGGTGTAATATGCAAAGGTCCCCCTCAAGGTCAGTCCAAACTCAAAACAGAGTTAACGGGTGCATTTTGGCCCCCTTGCTTTTCAACTTCTATATTAATGACATGGTTAAATAAACCAAATTACCACCCCCCCAAAAATAGATGATTGAAGCATCACCCTGTTGCTCTATGCAGATGATGCTATGATCTCTCCAGGACACCAGTAAGTTTTAAAAGAGCCTTGCAAGCCCTTGTCCAGTATTATAATTACAATAAACTGGACATAATGAAGGTTATGGCCTTTGCAAAAAAGGCCAAAACTTTTTCATAATTTCTTAATGGTCATAACATAGAGCAAGTTAACCACCTTTAAGTATCTCGAGGTGATCATTCTTGCCACCAGCTCAAGAAAAGCACATGGTGAATATGCAGCTGCCTCTGGTCAAAGATCAGCAAACACTATTCTTAATTTTTTCCACTGTGCTGCTCCTCCAATCCATGGACGGGTAGCTTCTCCTTAGTTGCTGGGCAGAACTGAGTGCTGATCTCCTTCCTGCAAACTGGCCACGCCCACACTGTCCAATCAGCTCCAGTCTTTCTCACTCAGTTGCTGTGAGAACTAGCATTTCTGAGTGCTCCGTTTAATTTAACTCCTAATTCCTAGTTTATTATTTTTTTGTCTCCTTCCCTTCGTTCCTATTGTTGTTGGATTTCTAAACTGATCTTCTGAGGCTGCTGGGCGCGCGCGAGCTTGGGGCTCCAAGCCGCAGCCCACATCGGCTTCTTTCGGCCTGCAGCCTTCCAGATCCGACCCGGCTGGGCGGATCTGAGCGAAAGTGTTACTTGCTGTGGTGCGGAGCTGCCTTCTGTCGGCCTGAGGCAGTCTAGACGTGAGCGAGCTTCGGAATTCAAGCCGCAATTCCCGCCACCTCTCTTCGGCTTGCAGCCTTCCGGATCCGACCCGGCTGGGCGGATCCGCGTGGTTCTGCGATTTGACATCGCCAAGGTCTTCAGGGCGATAAGGCTGACGTCGCGGCAGTTTGAGTAACGTTCCGGACGTTGTTTCTGTAGCCGGTGCGAGGGCGACCTGCTGTGAGGCGCTAGACGCGCCGATCGCCTTAATTGACTGTCTTGCCAGAGCCGCGTTCACTGAGAAGCACTATACGCGCCGCTTGCCTAATTGATTTTCCCGCCAAAGCCGCGCTTGCTGGGATGGCCACCATTTTGGGACGCAGGAGGCGGCCATTTGAGGGACATTTCTGCTTCCTTTGGTAGCGCCCTTGTCATCAGCCCTGGGATCGCACTGAGCGGATCCCTTTGTGACTTTTTGACTTCGAGGTGGCCATTATCATAAGGGCTTGAGCTCAGCAACTTCTGAGCCTTTGACCCATGTTCCAGTGACGTTGCAGGGGGTGCATCCCTGTCTGCTACACTCCAAACTGAGGCCTACCTTGTGACTATTGGAGCTCAGCGTCTTCTGAGCCCATTGTTTAACACATAAGGGTCGCATCTCCCATTGAAGGACTCCTTCCCTGACACAGACCACCCACAACTAGTCACGGTCAGGGTGCACTATTGTCTAATTGGCGCACATCATCAAGATGGCGGATGTTCCTCTATCCTCAGACTCTGACTTAGATTGCTCTCCTCCGCAGCCTCAACAACAGGCTCGGACAAAGAAGGCCAAAGCCAAACAGCGAAAGCATCACTCTCAACCTGGGTCTAACAAGGCGGAACAGCGTAGACACCAGGCCTTAGAAAGACAGTTCGAGAGAGCCAGAGAACGGTCGTCTATCCAAGGACAGGCCTCAGTTGCAGACGAAGGTGCAGGCTGTTCCAGACCTCTTCATTCCGGGTCTTCTTCGAGCGATAAGGACTTACACACCTCTACCAATCTTCGCCATTCTAGGGGCGTTTCAATGTCGTTGCCAGATGTGTCAAGCCAGTCTATCCCTGGGTGTTCTCAAAGGCGCTTGCCCGAGGCAACTTTTACTCCGACGGCTGCTGGCCTTAGACCGGAACTGTCTGACAATCCTGTTAATTTCCAGGCAGCCTTATCGGATGCGCTAGCTAAGATCTTGGCGGCTGGCATACAGCAGGGTGCAGTGGGTACTAATCTTCCCTCCATTGATCCACCGGCTCCAGTTCGAGCTGACCCCAGACCTACACAGCTTGCGAACCGTCAAACCGATGAGGGTTCTTCTAATGAATTTGAATCGGGCGAGATTTGTCCTGAGGACGTGGAATTTTCAGAGGACGAAGGCCTCCCGCCGGATAAACCCGTTTTCACCAGCCTTTTCCGTCCCTCTGTCTTTAAATCACTACTACACAAAGCCAAGATTACCACAAAGTTTGGCGTTTCAGAGGTTCAATCGGACAATACTTCTCAACCATCAACTGCATCTCATGATGCTCTCTTTCATGTTTCAAAGCCGGATCAGGAGGTCATTCCTTGCCCTCCATTATTCTCTAATGTCATCAATTCGGCTTTCGGACAACCAGGCTCCTTGTCTTCGCCTAGTGGTTTAGACAAACGACTTTACGCCTCAGCGAAGGAACTGGAGGAGGCGCTGGCCTTGCCTTCCATTGATCCTCTGGTGGCAAGTTTATCCACTTCTTCTTTGCTGACATCAGACGTTGTGGATGGCCTAAAAGCTGAAGACCGAAAGATGGAGCTTGGGTTTCGAAAGGCTCACCAAGCGGCAGCTTGGGCAATAAAGGCGGCCACAGCGACCTCATTTTTCAACCGAGCTGCTCTAATCTGGCTCAGACAATTACAAGAGAGATTACCACCTGATGACACCTGGCTACATCAGGACATTAATAAGTTAGTGGCTGCAACTGAATATTCGGCTGACGCATCTCTCACAGCGGCCAAATTTGCTTCCAGATCCATAGCAGCATCGGTGACGAATCGCCGATTGTTTTGGCTCTGTAACTGGAAGGTGGATGCCAGGGCCAAGTGGAAGTTGGCGTCTGCTCCATACTCCGCTTCCTCTCTCTTTGGTGCCGCCCTTGAGCCAATTTTAATTGAAGACAAGGACAAACGTAAAGTCCTCCCGTCCTCCTTTCGTCGACCTGAGAGGAGATACAACCCATACTCTCAACGTCCGCCCTTTCAGGCCTACTCGGGGTCAGGCGGACCCTACTTCTCTCGGTCATATTCCCAGCCTTCGGACAGGTACTCGGACAGACAACCATTCTGTGACCGATCCAGGGGCCAGTCCCAGTCAAAACGCCCCTTCCGAGGCTCCGGTTATCGTCCAGCCCGCAGGGGCAAGTGACGCCGCCGGGTCGGGTCCTATTGGGGGGCGACTCCAGCACTTCCACCTCCAATGGGACCTCTCGACAACGGATGCTTGGATTCGCCATACGATCCGGCAAGGACTCCACATCGAACTCCACTCCATGCCACCCAACAGATTTCGCTGCTGTCCGGTTCCACTCTGTCCCCGGAGGAGGACGCTCATGGACACAGAAATATCACACCTCCTTTCAATCAAGGCAATAGAACTGGTGCCCCAGGGACAGGAAGGCACTGGATTTTACACTACCTTGTTTCTGGTGCCCAAATCATCGGGGGGTCACAGGGCCATCTTGAACCTAAAAAGTCTCAACCGATACGTTCGGTATCGCAGGTTCAAGATGCAGTCCCTTTGGTCAATTTTGGCGGCTGTCAGACCCAACGACCTTCTACAATCTGTGGACCTGCGCGAAGCCTACTTACATGTCCCAATTCACCCTGCCCACCGCCGTTACCTAAGGTTCGCCTACAACAACATCCACTATCAATATCGGGCAATGCCCTTCGGGTTGTCGTCGGCACCCAGAACGTTTACCAAATTGGTCGAGGTGGTGGCAGCGGCTGTCAGGATTCACACAATCCGAATAATGTGTTATCTGGACAATATTATCGTCATGTCAAATTCACCCGTTCAGGCAGGGAGGGACATGGAGTTGGTGTTACGAATTTTCCAGGCCCACGGTTTTTCCATCAACGGTCAAAAGAGTCACCTGTATCCGACTACCCGTCTACAACATTTGGGGGCGGTGATAGATTCGCAATTGGGCCAGGTGTTCTTATCCCCGTCTCGCATTCAGGACCTCAGGGCAATGGTGAGACAGGTACAGGATCAGAGGAAGGTGCCACTTTTCCTGCTATCTCAACTGTTAGGGAAGATGGTGTCCTGCATATCCATCGTCCCGTGGGCTCGCAGGCATGGCCGCCCTCTACAGTGGCTGCTACTTCCCTTCCAGAAACAGGGCCGCGGCACTTCCAGCTATCCAATTGTCTTGCCTCCTCAGGTTCGATTGTCTCTTCGGTGGTGGAGATCATCGGCAGTCCAGAAGGGGTGTCTGTTCCTCGAGCCCAGTCGTCTAGTCCTGACCTCCGACGCAAGTCTACAAGGTTGGGGTGCCCATCTGCAGGAAGAGGTGGTTCAAGGTCAGTGGTCCCAGGCGGAGCGGGCGAACAGAATCAATTGGCTGGAATTGAGGGCTGTTCGCCTGGCTCTTTGCCACTTCCGGCACGTCCTCGAAGGTCAACGTGCTGGTCCGAACGGACAACATCACCACGAAGGCACACATAAATCGGGAGGGGAGCACACATTCCAAGACCTTGATGATGGAGTCCGAGAGACTGTTAGCCTGGGCAGAACTCCACACGGCGTCTCTGGTAGCAGATCACATCTCCGGTCAGTCCAACGTAATGGCAGATTGGCTCAGCCGAGAGATCATTGATCCGGCGGAGTGGAGCCTGAACCACACCGTCTTCGAACAGCTGACACACAAGTTCGGTCAGCCTCAGGTGGACTTGTTTGCCACTGCCCTAAACGCCCAGCTGCCCCGCTTCTACTCACGCTACCCAAGCGCAAGAGCAGAGGACAGCGATGCGCTACGTTGCCCGTGGCCCACCGGGCTGCTTTACGCCTTTCCCCCGATTCCCCTGATCCCTCGCTTGATTCGGAAACTGATCCGAGAAGGTGCAGAGCTGTTGCTGATAGCCCCGCGGTGGCCTCGGAGACCCTGGTATGCGGATCTACTGGAACTCTCCATCGTCCCGCCTTGGACATTACCGGTCCGGACAGACTTGCTAAGCCAGGGGGTTGTCGTCCACCCAGATCCGCAGTGGCTCCGATTCACCGCCTGGCGTTTGAGCGGCTCCAGTTACAGAAGGACAGACTGTCCGTTGGGGTCATCTCTGTAATTCAATCAGCCAGGCGTCCCTCCACGACACGAATTTACGAGGCTTCGTGGCGTGCCTTTACGACTTGGTGCCTAATCCACCATGTGGACCCGACATCTCCGGATATCCCAGATGTGTTGGACTTTTTACATGATGGCCTCTCCAAAGGCCTCGCCCCAGCGACGTTGAGACGCCAGGTGGCTGCTCTTTCCACTGTTATCATCTGCGAGCGCCACCGCACTCTCTCTTTGAATTCCAGAATTCGGGCGTTTTTGCACGGTGCCACTAACATCTCACCACCAGTGGTGCATAGGTACCCGTCATGGGATCTCCCATTAGTGCTTAAAGCTCTAATTTCAACACCATTTGAGCCTTTAGCATCTACATCTCTGAAATTTCTTACCTTCAAAGTCGCTTTTCTTCTGGCGATTACATCTGCGCGGCGGGTGTCGGAACTCACAGCTCTATCCATACGCAAAGAGCTCTGTATATTTCACAGCAACAGGGTCGTCCTGAGGTTAGACCCAGCGTTTTTACCAAAGGTTAATTCGCTGTTTCACAGAACCCAGGAGGTGATAATACCTGATTTTTGTCCGAATCCTCACCATCCGTCAGAGACTCTATGGCACACTCTGGATGTGCATCGCGCTCTTCGTCGCTATATCAGGCGTACAGAATCCTTCAGACAAACCGAAGCATTGTTCGTTTCCTTTCATCCTTCTTCAATGGGGCGGAAAGTATCGACAGCTACCGTGGCTCGCTGGATCAGGGCCTGCATAGCGACTGCCTACGACGTTCAAGACCGTCCTCGTCCTTCACATATTTCTGCTCACTCTACTAGGAGTGCGGCCGCCACGGCAGCTTGGACTACACAGGCTTCGGTTCTGGAGATTTGTCGGGCGGCTTCATGGTCCTCCGCTTCGTCGTTTATTCGACATTATAAAATTGATTCGTATGCTTCGGCTGAAGCTTCCTTTGGTCGCAGGGTTTTGCAACAAGTGGCCACAGCCCAGAACTCTGAGAACAGACAGCCCCCTCCCTGAGCAGTGAACTTGGGTACATCCTGTCCATGGATTGGAGGAGCAGCACAGTGGAAAAAGGACGTTGTCTCACCTGAACATCCATTTTCGATGTGCTGCGACTCCAATCCATACCCACCCTTGGGCTTTCTGCTCTGTTTGGACTTGTTACAGTTGTGTTTGTTATTCCAGTTTGAGTTCTTCCAGTTTGACTTCTTGCGCCTTCGTGAGGAAAGACTGGAGCTGATTGGACAGCGTGGGCGTGGCCAGTTTGCAGGAAGGAGATCAGCACTCAGTTCTGCCCAGCAACTAAGGAGAAGCTACCCGTCTATGGATTGGAGTCGCAGCACATCGAAAATGGACGTTCAGGTGAGACAACGTCCTTTTTCCACACAAAAGGAGGATACTATGTTCCTGCCGCAATTAAGGTCTTTCAAGCCAGTTGCTAGCATAGCTTGTTTATGGGACCTTGCTCAGACCTTCAGCTTCATGTTTTACACCATTGCAAAGAGTTCAATCCAAATTTATTAGAGCAATTCTCTAGATACTGCATTGTCTCTCAACGCACTTCTGTGCCTGGAGACAGGATTAATAAAAGTTGAAGTAAGAATCTGTATAGCTTCAATCTTTGGCTAAAGGTTAATTTTTTTTCACAAGGCCTTGCTCCATTAATTCTCCAAGACAAATTCTCCTTTTTATGGATCAAGGCCGTCAAGTCCAATCTTGCCAAACTAGGCTTTTCTCCAGCCTCAATACTCAAGTTGGCCTATGACCAAGCAAAACAAAACTTGTGACAAAGGATAGGGGACATCGAGAGGCAAGCGGCCTTAGGGAAAGCACCACTGTTTCTGGCTCCAGACTATTAGATATGTTGTTACTCATGCCAGCTATTTTAGTCACTTGGAGACAGCAAACCATCAGAAAGCATTTTCGCTTTCAAGGTGTCATGCACTTCCATCGACCGTCCTGCATGGTAAATATAAAAAGATACCATTGATTAAAAGACTCTGTCTCTGTGGCTCAGGAGAGGTGGAGACTCTTGGACACATACTTTTTCAATGCTCATTTTATAGAGATATTAATGAAAACATATTCTCCCAATAATCCTGGCCAATCCAACACTACTAATCTCCAATGGCTGCTTAAGGACGACTAGACTGTGATTACAGTGCAAGTGGCTAGATTCTGCGCAGCAGCATTGGGGATTCATTGAAAACACATGATTAATCCATCATAGCTATTTTACACAATTAATGCAGCAAACCCTTTTGCATTATAGCCTTTTGTATATTAGTATTTAATGACTCCAGATCTCACAGTTTAAGGATTGGTATTATGGTATAGTTAGGACAAGCTGTGATTTGTTCATGTGTAACTGACAGATTGGATGCCAAATTGTAATTTTAATATGGATTTTATCTGTTATCTGCATATTCCTTGAGTGTTTTTGATTCTAATAAACATTTGCTCTGGTGTCTAGTCTGTGGCTGTAATAAACATTGAGTTGTAGTTAGCTACAGTGTTCAGGATGCACACCACAACAGTAATGGGAACTTTGACTATCCTTACATTAACTGGGAGACAAACAATGCATCTAGTGGAAGATCAAGGAAGATTCTTGATGAACCTAGCAGACAATTTTGTCTCTCAAAAGGTATAGAAGGAAACTAGAGTTAGCCATACTGGACTTAGTTCTTACTAACAGAGATGAAATGACAGAAGGGGTTGAAGTTACAGGAATTGGGAGGTGGGGGAGTACAACCAGACAATATTGGACTTCAATGGAAGCTCAATTGGAATTCAATGCAAAAGTGAAGTTATAAAAACCTAATAAAACACAATATTACTGAAGAAGAAAAATAAGGGATTCCTGAAGAAACCATCATGGTTGCACAGAAACCTCTCTGATAAAAGGAGAAATATAAAAAGGAGAAAGGGAGGCATATAACTGAGGTAGAATAAATCCAAACTGCAAAGATAAAAAATAAATCTTAGGATGAACTAAGATTTGCAATGAGTTTTAACAATTAAAAAAGTTTCTTTCAAGATATAAAAAAACATGAAAAAAGTAAAGGAAACGTTCAGCCCACTAATAGGAGAAGATGGCAAGGAGGTGACTGACCAACAGGGAGAAAGCCGAGCTGCTTAACTGATTCTTTGTATCTATCTTTACACAAAAAGGAAAAACAATCCAACCTCTCAAAAACAGTACAGTAAAGGACAAATTAGGAATACAAATTAAAATAGGCAAGAAAACAGTAAGAAGACACCTATCCACTCTAGACGAGTTCATATCACCAGGTGCAGACAGATTATATCCCAGATTCTGGTAGAGCTGGCAGACAAGATCTCAGAACCACTGAACAAAGCATTTTTAAGATGTTGGAGCACCGGGGAACTACCAGAAGATTCAAAAAGCTGACATGGTTCCCATCTTCAAAAAAAAAAAAAAAAAGGGGGGGGGGGGGGGGAGGGAATGGATCTAGGAAACTACAGAGCTACAGATGTCAATACCTGGGAGAATTCTTTAAAAAAATAAGCAATGAATCTGCAAACACCTAGAGACAAGCAAAGTTATAACCAGAAGTCTATTTTTTTTGTCAAAAATAGATCATGCCAGACAAAAGTTGTTATACTTTTTGACAAAGTGTCTAAATTTGTAGACCAGTGAAATGCTATGGACATAATATACTTAGATTTTGGTAAGTCATTTGATAAAGTAGACCACAACCTTCTCTTTAGTAATATAGAAAAAAGTTGGATTAGACTGCATCATCAGATGTTCTGTTTTAGGTCCAGTAATCTTCAGTGACCTCATAAACAATCTAGACGAGGGAATAGAAGGAGAATTCATCAAATTTGAAAATGACGCTAAGCAGGCAGGAATAACTAACACTCCAAAAGATAGGCGCAGGTTCTAGAAGGAACTTAAAATTTGAAACCTGGGCCTTATCCAACAAAATTAAATTCAGTGGTGAGAAAAGTAAGGTTTTACATTTAGGGGGGAAAAACCCCCAAAACATGTAGAATAGGTAGTACCTGGCTCAATAGTAGTAACTAAAAGGGGGCTAGGGCTCCTAATGGACAGCCACTTAAATATGAGGCAGCAGTGTATTGCAGTTACCAAAAATACCAAAGCAGTTCTGCGCTGCATTAACAGAGGGATAGAATCAAGATCACATGATTAATACCACTTTATAAAGCCTTAGTAAGAACACACTTAGAATACTGTATCCAGTTTTGATCATCACAATATAAAAAATATGTCAATTCTTTTTTGAGAGTGCAGAGAAGAGCAACAAATATTATTAGGGGACTGGAGGCTAAAGCATATGAAGAACAGTTGCCGGAATTGGGCATGTCTAGTCTAATGAAAAGAAAAGGCTATTATATATATTGTCATATGATGGAAGTTATTGTAATTTCTATGTACAAGTAAATATTAGAAGTGAAGATTATTATTATGTATGTTTAAAAAGTAAAAAGTAAGAGATGATGGACCGAAGGCTTACTAAGATAGATAAGCAAATACTACTGTTATGTGATCACCATCAATGTTATGAATATTATCATTATTACTATTATTTCTTAAAATGAACTGTACACAGACAATATATTGTTCATGTAGATACTGATGTTAAATAAAAAATAAAAAAACTTGAAAAAAAGAAGACTAGGGGGTAACATGATACCAGTGTTCCAATATCTAAAGGCTGCCACAAAGAAAAAAAAAGTCAACCTATTCTCCAAAGCACCTGAATGCAGGACAAGAAGCAATGGATGGAAACTAATCAAGGAGAGAAACAACTTAGAAATAAGGATAATTTTTCTGATAGTGAGAATAATTAATCAGTAAAACTGTTAGCCTTCAAAAGTTGCGGGTGCTCCATCACTGGAGGTTTTTAAAAAAGAGATTGGACAGCCATTTGTCTGAAATGGTACAGGGTCTATTGCTTGAGCAGGGAGTTGGACTAAAGGACCTGAAAGGTCCTTCCCGATTCTGTTATTTGGTTAAGTGAGGTTTGTATAAAGCCAAGCCCTAAACAATAAATTGGAAGTTTTAACTGTGCCTCCGTATAAGGAAAATCTAGAAATATTTTTTCTAATATAAACAGGGCAATTTAAGGATATGACCCTAATTAATATAAGATACTTTTGCCTATTTTCTACCTATATTTATGTGAAAGCCGATTTTCAAACTCGTTTACAAAATTAAAGCCGTGCGATTTTTAAAACGTAAGTAGCTTTCCTTATTGGTTCTTAGAATAGGTATGCTGCTATCCCTTTCCCAAAAATATAAAAAAAATTGCAAGTATATTGTTAAAATCAAACCTACTGGTAGAAGTAGATTGATGCTCCAACTAACTAACTAACTAAATATATATATAGTTTATAACTGCTGAAGATCATCTTAGGCTTACTGCTGTGACTTGTTATAATTCTGTATCAAGCAACAGAATTGTCTCTGTGATTTAAAATGTACATTTGGTAGTTGTGAGAAATGATTGATTTTGGTCCAAAATGTTGTATAAACTTACACTGCATTTTGTTATTTCCGCCACCACAAGATTTTATCTCTCAATAAAGATTTAGAAAGCAATCCTGTGTATATTTATTTGGTAATAAACCCTATTCATTTTGTGTGGATCACTTTTGGCAATTCATTTGGATTGCATCCTAATATCTAAATGTATTTGTTTTCTAGCAAGGAAATATGACCACCAGCAGCAGCCACAGAAACAGACTGATAGCGTACAGCTTTTGGTGGAATGAAGTTTTAAATTTCTGAAGTGCTGAGGATGTCAGAGTATTGACGATAATCACTTGCAGTGCAACTTTAATTGTATTTAATATTTTTAAAATGTGCACTAATTGCATAATCTATGTTTTGACTATAGGCTCTGAATTTATGTATTATTGTAGAATGATTCTGTAATATCTGAAAGATACAGAAATTTATACTGCTCTTATTTCTTAATTCATTTCCAGTAAAAATATGAGCTCACAAGAGCACTGAGATGATCATTGCTGTTCCTGCAGTTGTTTCAAATCTTCATTTAAAGAGAGACAGAGGCACATACTATTTTATGTGCCATAATGCTGCAAGAAATTCAGCTACTTCTATAAATGAACAGTTTCCCACAGTGGGACTTTAACAAACACTGCACTCAATGAGGCAGATATATTGAATTGTAATGTGCAACTGAATATACATAAAATATGAAAAGTTTAGGAAATGTATTCCTGTATGCAACAATTAGAACAGAAGTTAGAGTAAGGAACAAACTCCATTTTGTGAATATGATGATACAAGAATATTTTTGCATTTGTCTTTTTAATTGTTTTATTATATTGAATTCTGAAATTATTTAAGAAATCTCCTCAATAGCAATAGCACTTAGACTTATATACTGCTTCACAGTGCTTTAAACCCTCTCTAAGAGGTTTAGAGTCAGCATATTGCCCCCAACAATCTGGGTCCTCATTTTACTGACCTTGGAAGGATGGAAGGCTGATAAATGACAATGTAGTAGTTTGCAATATTTTACGAGTGGGACAAACATAATATTTTAGACTTACAGGTGGAATGCTAAAACAGCATGCTAACAGAATGCTAAAACAGTAGCTTGAAATTCAGATAACAGCACTGTTTGTGTGAGACTTACAATGGATAAATATCAATTATTTGTTAGACTTATAATGGATAAATATCAATTATTTGTTGATTTATCAAAAAGATCAAGTAAAATTGACAATGGAAATATAAAATATTCAGATGCTTAAATATTTACAGCATATTTTATTTGGGCATGTCTGAAAATTTGACGGTTTTAATTGATTGTATTTTAATTTACATCTTAAACATGGACAATATTATTTTTCCAATAATAGACAATAATTTTAGCTATTAAATGGTCAATTCTAATACATTTGTTATAAGTTTATACATTTCTCTTCTATATATATATATATATCCTAATGCTTTCGTAAGTTTAACTTCTGAATATGGCAAGAGTTGCTGAATTTTGCAAGTACTAATTCTAATTCTGAGATTCTTTGGGCGCAGCACCAAACATCTAAACAGCGGTGGATCAATTGGACTGCAAAAAGGTTAGAGCAATATACTCTTTCATCGGTACCATGTAATTATTTTTGTGAGGATTCCTTTCTGGAATCCTTTTGTAATACAGATAACTTAAATCTGAATATAAGCTTCATACTTATACTAGTGTAATCATAAAAGGTGCCTGTCACATTATTAAGTGATGCTCACATTTGAAGTTGCTAGAATTATCCCCCTCTTGCATTGGTTGCTGTAAGGTATTAATTTTATGAGCCATCTAAACAACATAGTAGAAGTAGAAGACAAGTGACATAAATACATTTCTGTTGGCTGACTGATCTGTATACCTTGCTAAATTATGGTGTTTGTTTTTTTAATCGTCTTTGAGGCATGTCAAAATACAGCCTGTAT